TTAAGAAGGGGTACCAGAATATATTCTTGGTAAAGGCTTTCCTGACTGCCTTAAAAGTTGTTATTCTTTTTTCTTTTTTTTGAAACAGAGTTTAACTGTCACCCTAGGTAGAGTGCAGTAGTGTCATCATAGCTTACTGAATCCTCAAACTGTTGGATTCAAACGTTCCTCCTACCTCAGCCACCTGAATAGCGAGGAATACAGGTGTGTGCCGAGACACCCAGCTAATTTTTTTCTATAATATTTTTGGTAGAGACGGGGTCTCACTCTTGCTCAGACTGGTCTTGAACTCCTGACCTCAATCAAGCCTCTCACCCTGGCCTCCCAGAGTGCTAGAATTACAAGTGTGAGCCACTGCAACTGGCCTCATTCTTTCCTCTGGATTTTCATAATCCCTCATGATTTGATTATAAAATAATAATTGTTTGTGTCCCTCCCTACTGTGAGCCCCTCAAGGGCTAGGAAAGAGTTACTCAGTTTTTTAGCCCCAGAACAGTGTTTAGTACAAATAGCCACTCATTAAATTAATGTACCAATGAATGAATGATGGATGGCAAATGGGCAGGTGTGTAGATGGAAGGACAGACCTGAGCCAAGAGCTTGACACACCTAATTAACATTTGACTAGTTAGGTGCTATGCTGACAGAGGGAATTGGGAGCTTGATTTTTCATGATCTCTATGTAGAGTAATCACTTAATTTGTCATCCATACTGGGACATTTTTGAGAGTACCAGGAGTAGGAAGAAGGGTTTGCTAGAACAATTATGCTAGGACTATAGGTGTAAACCAGGAAGATCTTAAATAAACAAGAATAAAGGGTCACCCTACTAGGCTACCAGGGAAAACAACAGTCTAGCCAGGAAGACAGGTTTACCTGGGTGAAAAGTCACTTGTGTTCTTTTCCTGTCCGCACCTCCAATCGCATGTGACTCCAAAGCCGTTGGTGCCTGTGTTCATATGGTTATGTCACAGCTCTCATAGGTAGGTCACCAGGGCTATTAGTACCAGCTTTCACTTGTATTAATAATAATGTGCAGTTTTGTCATGGAAACAGTTTGTAGACTGTTGTCTTAGGATAGAACATTACTGAGAAAAGCTGCTTTGTGTCCCTTCTAAAACCTAATATATATCTTCTGATGTGAGGCCCTCTAAAGCCTACCTCTGGTATTATCTTCCACTTTACATTGACTCCACTGCGTTGCACCTAGTATATACCACATAAATATTTTTTAATAAATTTATTTACTGTCAAGTGAAAGGGCCATATGTTGCTGTTTCCCAGCCTTTCTTCCATTCTATACCCTTCTTCCCAGCCCTTCTGTCTTTCCCTTCTTTGTGTATGTATGTGTGTGTGTGTGTGTGTGTGTGTGTGTGTACACATTTAATTTTATTGTAACAAAACAACTGGTACACTTTTAAAAGTTAAAGTTGAGCATCATCTTTCCTTTCTCTGTAACGAAAAGACAACAGAAAATTCAGTTCTAAATAAGATCCAACAGGTTCTGCTGATTGTCCCATCAAGTGGTGGGGCCCAAGTCATCATTAGAGAATTATTTTTAAAGTGTATCTTAAAGCGTGCAGGATGTTACTGAACATCAAAGACAAATATGCAAAAAGACTGTTTTGTCAAAATCCACCTGAACTTTTATTGTTATTATGTATCAGTCTAGCCTGTTGACGGGGTGCTATGAACCCCGCATGATTTTTTTTTTTTTTTTGGTGTTTGGACAGTGAGTCTGCCTTTGTTGTCCAGCTAGAGTGAATGCCTGGCGTCCCAGCCTAGTCCCAGCACCGCTTCAAACTCCTGGGCTCGAGTGATGCCTGTTTCTGCTTTCAGGCTGCGCGCCAAGCTAGGCTGGGAGCAGACTTATAGGCATGCCCCCGCCGCCGAGGTGGCTCGGGACGGCTCATATTTTTTCCCGGTCTAATTATTATATCAGTTGGCCAATTGATTTCTGCTCATTTATTGGTAGAACGCCGCCCAGTTGATCTCGTCATTGCTCAGCTGGTTTTTTGACTCGCTGCCCTTGAGCAATGCGCGCCGCTTCGGAGCCACATCCAACGCTAGGATTTACGGCGTGAGCCACCCAGCGGCCCGGCGTATAACACATTTAAAGTTTTGTTTTTTTTTCCTTCCTCTTAGCACATCTAGGGCAAATAAATAAATAAATAGTTCAGGTTTTTTTTTTTTTTTAAACAAGAAAGAGTAGACAAATATATGTTGGTAAATGCTAACTGTCTGTATTCACATAGAGATACATAGTGTACTCTCAGAGCCTAATATTCAGAGAAAAGAGGAAAAAAGCTAGAATTCTATGCACTACTCTACAGGGGCCTGGCCCTCTCCAGCTTCCAGCACGGTGAAGGGAGCAGGTTTTCCTTTTTCCCCACAGAGCTTGCTGGTGTCAATTCCGTACAGTTTTGCTCCCCTTCCTTTATAAGGTGCACTTCTCAGGCTAGGCTGACCTTGGCCCGCTGCAGTCTCTTTGAGCTCTTGGCCTTTATTGTCTTCACACCTTTTTTTTGGCAATTATATATAGTGTACTTCCTTGTGACATTTTGTATTGTCTTGTTTAACTTTTCTTGTGTTTTTGGCTTATTTTCAGAGTGGTACAGGCAACCAAAAAGAATCTAAATACAGGCATCATCCATTTAACTTCAGCAAGCCATTCCTGAAAATAGATATTCTGTATGAAAACGCTGGGAGCCTGTTACTCCATTATTTTAAATAGAAAGATTACAATATGATAGATGTCAACCATAAGCTCCCAATCAATTTCCTAAAAATGTAATTTATTTTTTATTTTTTTAAAGGCTAATCAAGTGAAGCAGTGGGAGTGGAGAAGGAACAAAGAAATCTGTAACTGGTTTGATCAATTAGTTGTAAACACCACTACTCTCAGACCAGCCCTAAAAAGTAATTTAAACACAATAAAATGCATGTAAATAACAGACTATCACATAAGGACGAAAGATGCTTAAAACATCCTGCTCACCAGTAATTAATATGGTTGTTAGGAAACAGTGCTTTTGTGTGCAGTGTCAGCCTCTCTTACCAGCCACACTGAAAACCAAGTACCTGGCCGGGCGCGGAGGCTCACACCTGTAATCCAATCCTAGCACTCTGGGAGGCCGAGGTGGGCAGATTGCTCGAGGTCAGGAGTTGGAAACCAGCCTGAGCAAGAGCGAGACCCCGTCTCTACTATAAATAGAAAGAAATTAATTGGCCAACTAATATATATAGAAAAACTTAGCCAGGCATGGTAGCACATGCCTGTAGTCCCAGCTACTGGGGAGACTGAGGCAGTAGGATCACTTGAGCCCAGGAGTTTGAGGTTGCTGTGAGCTAGACTGACACCATGGCACTCACTCTAGCCTGGGCAACAAAGTGAGACCCTGTCTCAAAAAAAAAAAAGGGAAAAGAAAATCAAGTACCCTTTGACACTCTTTTTGTTTTTAAACTCCCCCTTGCCCTAGCTGAGATTACACTTGGCTTTTGAAAATATCTCTATGTTATTCTGATGTTTTACCAGTTGCATTAGCATGTAACTGGAGACTTTTCTACTTGGTTTTAAATGTAGTGTTAAGTTTTGATGACATACATGTACATTTTTCCTATATAAACAGCAGCAAAATAGTGTTACAGTAGGAGATACATATGCTCTGTGAAGTTTATTTATTAAGAATGAATAGCAGCTGGGTGTGGTGGCTCACGCCTGAAATCCTAGCACTATAGAAAGCTGAGGCAGGTGGATTGCTTGAGCTCAGGAATTCGAGACCAGCCTGAGCAAGAGTGAGACCCTGTCTCTACTAAAAATGGAAAGAAATTAGCTGGACAACTAAAAATATATAGAAAAAATTAGCCGGGCATGGTGGTGCATGCCTATAGTCCCAGCTACTTGGGAGGCTGAGGCAAAATGATTGCTTGAGCCCAGGAGTTTGAGGTTGCTGTGAGTTAGGCTGACACTGAGGCACTCTAGCCTGGGCAACAGAGTGAGACAATGTCTCAAAAAAGAAAAGAATGAATAGGCATTCTTTTAGGAAAACGACACTAACTGCTAGATGTGCCTGAATTTACTGAGCATTTATTATGATTTAATTCCTTGCTTGTCACTTATATAGTATATCAAAAACATCAGAATAACATAGAGATATTTTCAAAAGCAGAATGTCATCTCAGCTGGGCCAAGGGGGAGTTAAAAAAAAAAGAATGTCAAAGGGTACTTGGTTTTCAGTGTGGCTGGTAAGAGAGGCCGATACTGCACACAAAGCTCCTTAGTGCTTTGCTCATCATGTGCTAATCAAATATCTGTACATTGATTTTAAAAATCTAGGCTGTCTCAGAGATTTCGTTTTTAGTAAATATCTACTGTACACTGTGGTAACCATCTTGACAAGACGATGTCAATTCAGAGGCCCAGAAAGGTGAAGTAATCTGCCCAAGGTTGTAGAATAGATAAGTGGCAGAGCCAAGATGTGAACCAGGATCTGTCTAATTTTAACATGTCCCTTTTTTCACTACGTCGTTTTTTTTTTGTTTTTTTGTTTTTGTTTTTAAAAAAAGCAACATAGGGTGGCTGCTCTGATGGTAGTGGGTTATCAGAACTTACTCACATCAGTGTTACTGAAGTTGGTATACAACCCCCCACAGTTAAATTTGACTGGCTTTTTAAAAAACAAAAACATATTGTTCCTGGTCTATGCCTGTGATCTTTGGTTTAAACCTGTAGAAGGAGATTATCTTTTTAAAAATAGGCTATTTAAAATCTATGTTATAATTAGTTCTCCACCCCTATCCCCCATGACATTTGGCGGCTTGGACCTGAAATTACTAGTGCATCTGGCTGTGGACTTTATGCCAGCAGGTGATCTCAGAGCTGGCTTTCTGAAAGGAGATACTTACCTGTACCTCCAACCAAAAAGGGGGAATGAGCTCTAGACAGAAAACATACATGTGCTGAATGTGTGCTTAATGCTTCTCCGTACCTTTTGTTACAGACTTTAATGCCAAAAGGAAAAAGAAAGTGGCAGAGATACACCAAGCTCTGAATAGTGATCCTACTGACGTGGCTGCCCTTAGACGCATGGCTATCAGTGAAGGAGGGCTCCTGACTGATGAGATCAGAAGGAAAGTGTGGCCCGAGCTCCTCAATGTCAACACCAGTGAGCCACCTCCTATATCAGGTAATGGAGGAGGGCGGGGTTGAGGCAGAGCTTACCTAAGAGACGGAGAAAAGAATTTCAGGATCTTTGACTTTTATGCTCATTTCTTTTTTTTTTTTTCTCCTTTTTTAGCATTAAAGTGAAAGGAATATGCTCATTTCAGACCAAGAGTAGATGAGTAAATCCTAAAGCATTTTAGGAAACACTCAGGCCCACTCTGAAAATAAGGCCAAAACTGAAAAGTAGAATTTTATTCAAAAATGGAATGAGCTTTTGATTAGGAATTAAAATATTGACCAGATAGGGGAGATTATTAAAAATCCATATTTTAATCCTAGCACTTTGGGAGGCCGAGGCGAGCGGATTGCTCAAGGTCAGGAGTTTGAAACCAGCCTGAGCGAGACCCCGTCTCTACCAAAAATAGAAAGAAATTAATTGACCAACTAAAAATATATATACAAAAAATTAGCCGGGCATGGTGGCGCATGCCTATAGTCCCAGCTACTCGGGAGGCTGAGGCAGTAGGATCGCTGAGCCCCAGAGATTGAGGTTGCTGTGAGCCAGGCTGACGCCACGGCACTCACTCTAGCCTGGGCAACAAAGTGAGACTCTGTCTCAAAAAAAAAAAAAAAAAAAAAAAATCCATATTTTAGTCTAGATTCACTTGATTGGAGGTGGGTTTTAGGAATCTGCATTTTAGGAAGCATCCCAGCTGATTCTGGTGTGAATGAACTACATTTTGAGGAACACTGGACTATGAGGAGAGAGAATACCTTTAAGGCCCTTAAAAAAACAACAAGAAGCTAGGTGCAGTAGTTTGTATCTGCAGTCACAGCTATTTGGGATCCTTAGGTGGGAAGATCACTTGAGCCCAGGAGTTCAAGGCCAGTCTGGGCAGCATAGCAAGACACCGTCTCTAAAAAATAAAATTATATATATAAAAAAATTATTTCTGGCCGGGCGCGGTGGCTCACGCCTGTAATCCTAGCTCTCTGGGAGGCCGAGGCGGGCGGATTGCTCGAGGTCAGGAGTTCGAAACCAGCCTGAGCAAGAGTGAGACCCTGTCTCTACTATAAATAGAAAGAAATTAATTGGCCAACTAATATATATATACAAAAAATTAGCCGGGCATGGTGGCGAATGCCTGTAGTCCCAGCTACTTGGGAGGCTGAGGCAGGAGGATTGCTTGAGCCAGGAGTTTGAGGTTGCTGTGAGCTAGACTGACGCCACGGCACTCACTCTAGCCTGGGCAATAAAGTGAGACTCTGTCTCAAAAAAAAAAAAAAAAAAAAAAAAAAAAAAATATTTCTTCAGATAGGAGTTCTGGAAAAAAAAATTTTAACTCTTTTTATTGAGAAAAACTTTGATCCTTTGGCGTTCTGAAATTCTGTAATTCTATGAAAAGCTGTTACCTAACTAATTTGCAAAGTGCATAAAATAGAAGGAGTTCCTTGGAGTGCAATTCAAAATACAGAAGAAAGTAGTGTAGAACAGTGAATCCACTTTGTTGTTCATTCACTTAATTCATTTACTTTATTGCTTTCCTGCTATTGTGGCAAAATGCTGAGTGCTGAGGATTCTTTCATTCATTGGGTAAATATTAGTTTGTTCCAATTGTGTGCCAGGTACAGGAGATGATTAAAAAGGACCTCTGCCACTAAAAAGTTCACAATGTCAAGGTGCTACTGAGTAGGTGTTGAGTTACCACTTGTTATTATCCTTGGAACTGGCTGTCTCAGAGCAGTCAGCTTTTTGTTGGAAAGCAAAGCATTGCCATATTCATACTCTCAATCCTGAGACGATGTTCTTCTGTCAGATTCCAGACTGCCCATGTCTTTTTATAATATGAAGTCTGTGTGTGAGGAAGTATTGCACAGGCTTCTCTAATAGCTTTTGATTTGGGTTGTGAGGGAAATGTATGCTTATTATATAGCACTTGGTTTGGCTTCAGGAAAATGTATTCTCATTATATAACAGCTAGAGACTGCCTCCTTACTTTCACACTGTATTGGGCTTATCAACCGAACACAAGTATTATCTCCTGTTTACAGTGTCTTAGTTTTAGATTTCAGGATCAAGAGATGTAATATTCCTTTCTGAACTGCTTAGTGTTCCCACAATCTTACAGATGTTAGGATTTTTTTTCAGTGGTCTGTGGTTTCCACATTCATGATTATATTTTATTTTATTTTGCCTTTCTCCACATGTTCTAATATTTGATTCTTGCAGCAACCCAAGAGGTATATGGGAAGCTACATTTTGCAGCTGTGGACATTGAAATTCAGGGCAGTTCCCCAGCGATGCACAGTCACAGCCTCATTAGGCCCCTGGTCTGTACTGTTCTCCCTACCTTACTACATTGCCTCTGGGCAGTCTGTCCCCTCCTCTTGTGATCGTGGTGACTTGCAGGAACAGGCATGTGTTTGGAACTGAACTAGGGATTTCTTTCCAGATGTTGTATCTTGAGTCATGTCCTCTTCAGGAAAAAGCTGACATGGGTCCCCAGGCCATTGATGTCATCCCAGAACATTTGCTTCTGGTCTGGCTTCTCAGACATTCCTGCAGTAACTTACTCCTTTTCTTCCAACAGGGAAGGACCTACGCCAGATGAGCAAGGACTACCAGCAAGTGCTGCTGGATGTCAGGCGGTCTTTACGGCGGTTCCCTCCTGGTGAGAAGCTCTCCTAGTTTTGCCATATTTGGAATGAGACTTTCTGTCCCATATGCATTCTCTTGTGGCAATGCTTGCCAGGCCCGGGAAATTTTCATCCCAGCCTACAGTGTGACGTGACATGCGGGACCCACCTCCTCAAGGGCCTTTAGTACTCCCAATTTGCTGAGTCATTCTTTTGTTATCTGGTCACTTTCAGACCCCCACTCCGAAAGCTTGAACCAAAGATAACTTCTCTTGGCCTAGAGGTGGTAAATGAAAGAAGAGGTTTTTTGGTTTTTGTTTTTCTTTAAGCCACAGAAGGGAGTTCATAGGGATTATTAGAGCCATCAGTCAGCTTTAGAGAGCAGATTGGTTTGTAATTGGGCACTAATAAGAACTATTGTACTTCTGGAGTGAAACGCTAAAGAAAATTAATGTAAAATATATTAAAAAAATTTTTTTAAGTTAATATAAATTAAAATTAAAAAAAAAGAACTATTGATATCTTCATTTAATTAGGTTTATAAATAATGATACCTTGCATATACATATATAGGGTCCCTTGGACTGGAAAGGAGGCCATTCCCCACATGTTTAAAGAATGTATTCCTAAAATTTCCTCCCCATTCCCAGGAAGAAAGAGAAAACTGACTATTTCCATTTTCACAACGAAAGAAACTGGACAACAAACTTGACATGTATGACCCATTTCTCTTCCCCTGGCAACTTCACCTTTCAATCTGTGAAGAGAGGAGAATTGCTAAAGTGAATGAGCGCCTCTAAACCTATTGCTTCACTCCTCTGAAACCACGCCCTGGCTCAGACTTGTCTGGTCAAGGGCCTTCTTTTCTGCTTGATCTTGCTCCCTGGAGAGGCTCGTGTGATTCCCAGTAGTTTGCCAACTTTGTTTTGATAAAAGCATACCATGGTCTGGTCCCTTTTTGCTATCCCACTGGTTTGGATGACATCACACAAGACAGATACCTCCCATTTTTTTCCTTAGGTAAATTTTCCCTCTGAATCCCTTATTCGTCTTCCATTTATGTAAAGTCCATGATATCCTTTCTGTAGGCTGAACTTTCCATGTGGCCTCACATTCTTTTCCCATTCATGTTCTTCTGGGTTTGGTTGACCACTCTTACAGTGAAAAAATTCAAACAAGGTTTATGTTTTACTCTCACTACTTAGTTTTCCTTTTTGGGGGGTGGTGGTGGTGGTGGTTTTTTGTTTTGTTTTGTTTTTTGAGACAGAGTCTCACTCTGTTACCCAGGCTAGAGTGCAGTTGCATCATCATAGCTCACTGCAACCTCAAACATCTGGGCTCAAGCCATCCTCCTGTCTCAGCCTCCAAAGTAGCTAGAACTACAGGTATGCACCATCATGCCTGGCTAATTTTATTTTTTGTAGAGATTGGGTCTCGTGTTGCCCAGGCTGGTCTTGAACTCCTAGCCTTGAGCTATCCTCCCACTTTGGCCTTCCAAAGTGCTGGCATATTACAGGCATCAGCCACTGTGCCTGGCAAATTTTTTATTTTTGTATAATTTCATGTTTACCAGAAAGTTACAAAAGTAGAACAAAGAATTCCCCAGATACCTTTTACACAGATTTCCTTGTGTGTTAACATTTTATTATATCTGCTGCTCTCTTTGTTTCTCCATACACACATATATAAATTTTTTTCTGAACTAAATATTTAAGAATAAATTGGTACTCTTTTGCCCCCTAAATAGTTCAGGATATATTTTCTAAAAATAAGGCTCTTATATAATAACAGTATACTTATCAAAATCAGTAACAACATTGAAAAATACTGTTATATAATTAATTCACAGATTTTATTCAGATTTCACCATTTGTCCTAATGGTGTCCTTTATAGGAAAAGAAAATACAAATTCATACATTTCTCATTTAATCATCATAGCTCTTTAGCCTCCTTTTTTTTTTTTTTTTTTTTTTTGTTGTCCAGGCTAGAGTGAGTGCTGTGGCGTCAGCCTAGCTCACAGCAACCTCAAACTCCTGGGCTCAAGCGATCCTCCTGCCTCAGCCTCCCGAGTAGCTGGGACTACAGGCATGCGCCACCATGCCCAGCTAATTTTTTTTTTATATATATATCAGTTGGCCAATTAGTTTCTTTCTATTTATAGTAGAGACGGGGTCTCGCTCTTGCTCAGGCTGGTTTTGAACTCCTGACCTTGAGCAATCCGCCCGCCTCGGCCTCCCAAGAGCTAGGATTACAGGCGTGAGCCACAGCGCCCGGCCTCTTTAGCCTCCTTTAATCTGAAATAATTCTTTTGTATTTTATGACAGGCCAGTTGTTTTGTTAAATTTCCCTTTCTTTGGGATTATCTGGTATTTCCTTATTAGGAGATTCAGAGTTATGCACTGTTGACAGAAATTCCGCAGACATGGTGCTGAGCTCTCATCAGTGTGTCACATGAGGAGGCGCATGCTGCCCATACTCAATTACCTATGATGACTTGGTTATAACTGTGATGACTTGGTTAAGTTGGTGTCTCCAGGTTCCCCCACTGTAAGGTTGGGGGAATTAACTATGATGACTTGGTTATAACTGTGATGACTTGGTTAAGTTGGTGTCTCCAGGTTCCCCCACTGTAAGGTTGCTGGTGGCTGGCTCCTTTCCGTGTGCCAAGTGGTGTCAACAGTGTGTGGATCTTGATATATGTTGCCAAATGGTTTGCAATTCATTTTCTTACATTGAACACTGTCTTTGAAAAGCCATCACTGGCCTTCTTCCTAAACTTGTTACTAGGCTGCTTGCCATGTTCAAATGCATCTTCTCTCCCCTCCTTTCCCCAGGCATGCCAGACGAGCAGAGAGAAGGGCTCCAGGAAGAACTGATCGACATCATCCTTCTCATCTTGGAGCGCAACCCTCAGCTGCACTACTACCAGGGCTACCATGACATCGTGGTCACATTTCTGCTGGTGGTAGGCGAGAGGCTGGCAACATCCCTGGTAGAAAAATTATCTACCCACCACCTCAGGTACCAGTGCAGAGGGACATAAGAGGATGGGTGTCACTCCTTAAGCCCCCCTGGGATAACTCGTCAACCCATTTTCCAGTCAGTTTTTTCAATAGTCTGAGCCTACCTCATCCTCCAGCCCTGACTTAAGTGTTTGGCCTGACCAATCTCATTGAATTGTCTCCCTGCAGGGATTTTATGGATCCAACAATGGACAACACCAAGCATATATTAAACTATCTGATGCCCATCATTGACCGGGTGAATCCAGAACTCCATGACTTCATGCAGAGGTATGTATGTGTCTATATTTATGTGTACACAAACACATACACCCCTACACTGTACACTCTGAGCTTTTGTTTCTTCCTCACAAGTCTAGCTCAATTGTATTATCATCTTATGTGGATTAGTGTTAAGTCTTCCAAGTTGTTCTTTCCAGTCACCAGTGATCTGGATAATTCAGTTCTGTACAGTCTTGGAGCACTTTTTGGGTGCTGGGCTCTTTGGGGGATACAAGGATGACACATAGCCATGCCTTGAGGAGTTTACAATGGGTGGGGAGAGGTGGATAAGGTAAGTAAGCCAGGTAGACTTTAAGGCTGTTGTCACAAGACAGGTACAGAGTCCTGTGGAATCTAGAGGTGAGAAGGACAAGGTCATCTGTGGGTTGTTTTATCTCCAAAGTACCAAAGAGAAGAAATATTTCTTTGCAAATCTCATATGACTTTTTTTTCTCCTGTTTCGTTGGAAATATATTCTTGCCTCACTTTTTTTTTTTTTTTAAATAATGGCTATGTCTTAAGACATTTCAGTAGTCTCATGTTAACTGAAAAATTAACATAGTCATGTTTTCAAGCATGAGAATTTGTGCCCCTAAAAATGAGTAAGACTTTCTCAGAAGGAAAGTTGTTTTCTTTGAAAACAACTGCTTCTTGTTCCTGTTGTTGACATGTGTTGGCCATTAGGAGAGCACCCAGTGAGACAAGGCAGCCAGGACCCTGTGTGGTATTAGAGTCATGGGACATTTTAAAGACTTTGCATTTTGTGAGGAGAAGATGCCGAATTCCTAGGTGGCCAAGCTTTTCAGAAAGCGTGTTTCCCAGATGCTTCCTTCTCACCAGCACTGAGGACAAAGAAGGCCCAGAGCGAGGGAAGGGGTGACCAGCAGGGAACCTAACGTCTGGATTTCCTTTGCTCCTAGTGCTGAGGTGGGGACCATCTTTGCCCTCAGCTGGCTCATCACCTGGTTTGGGCATGTCCTGTCTGACTTCAGGCACGTCGTGCGGTTATATGACTTCTTCCTGGCCTGCCACCCCCTGATGCCCATTTACTTTGCAGCTGTGGTAGGTACAGGCCATGAGCCAGCAATTAGGCTCACTATCACCTGTCCCAGCTTGGCTATTACCCTGCAGGGAAATCTGGTGACTACAGAAAGAGACAAAGACAACATTTCCCAGTCTAGTGTCCCTGGACACCATGCTGGGCAATGTTAAGGGGTGTCATGAAAAGAAAAAGAAAGTTGGGAAATGCTGCTTAAACAAAGTTTAACAGTTAAACAGATTTATTTGCTGTATGACTTTTCTGAACCTTTAAAATGCTACTGTGGTCCAGGCGTGGTGGCTCATGCCTGTAATCCTAGCACTCTGGGAGGCCAAGGCGGGAGGATCGCTCAAGGTTAGGAGTTCGAGACCAGCTTGATCAAGAGTGAGACCCTGTCTCTACTGGAAATAGAAAGAAATTAGCCAGACAACTAAAAAATATATAGAAAAAACTTAGCCGGGCATGGTGGTGCATGCCTGTAGTCCCTGCTACTCGGGAGGCTGAGGCAAAAGGATTGCTTGAACCCAGGAGTTTGAGGTTGCTATGAGCTAGGCTGATACCACAGTACTCTAGCCCGGACAACAGAGTGAGACTCCGTCTCAAAAAAATAAAAATAAATAAATAAAATGCTAGTGTGCATTGTGAATTGTCAGGGTTTCTATTGCCATCTGGAAGATGTTCCGCTGATGAACACAGTTTGGGAAGCAGTCACTAGTACAAACTGTTTAAGAAGATACCTAGTGTTATGATGAAAAGGTGAGGTGGCTTGTGGTAGCGGTTAGGGGCTCCAGTTATTGGAAGGGCCTGAATGAGGGGGTGAAGGTGGAGATTCAGGAAAGCACATCACTAGTCACTGGTCCTTTCTGCAACTGTGGATTTGTGGACCAGCAGTCAGAAGGAAGATGTTAAAAGGGAGTGAGACCATTCTTTCTACTATTTTGAACTATTTCTTCTGTGCTAGAGCTCCAGGAATCTCCTAATAATCCCTCTCCTTTTCTTACTCCTAAAAGAATCACCTTCATTTCTTTTAAGACTTAGAGAGACATCTGAGCAAATGTGCCTGAAAGGACTTAGGTTGTAATGTGTCAGCCTTTCACATCATAGGGTGGAAGTTTGCCTCTAGCAGGAAGGGCCAGACCAGTAGGAACAGCTCTGAGAATATACATTATCACTTCCTCAGTGGATGCAAGAGTTTGTGGAGCATTTGAGCTGAGCCCTGTCTGTTACCAATTTAAATTCATCTCTAAGGAGAATGGAGTGGGAGTGGCCCATGCCCTGTGTGCCTGCTCTCTGATGTGAAGCCTTCCTCCCTACTCGCAGATCGTTTTGCATCGTGAGCAAGAAGTTCTGGACTGTGACTGTGACATGGCCTCGGTTCACCACCTGTTGTCCCAGATCCCTCAGGACCTCCCCTACGAGACACTGATCAGCAGAGCAGGAGACCTCTTTGTTCAGTTTCCCCCATCCGAACTTGCTCGGGCGGCAGCTGCCCAGCAGCAAGCAGAGAGGTGAGTGAGGCCGGGGTGCTGGTTAAGCTGGGGTGATTGTTGACAAGCAGAAGTGAGGTGGGGACCCTGGTGGGGCACAGGGCTAAGAGCATGTTTCATAGACCTAAGCCTAGGCCAGTGGAATCCCTGCTGTGGACTCATTGGTCCTTATCAAGAGAAGCTTCTGAGCAATTGTTAGCTGTACCCTGAGCCTATTTCGTGTAGTTTTTCTTTCCTTCTCCTTTCATACCATTTTCTTCTATCTCCTTCTCCTGCAGAACCGCAGCCTCTACCTTCAAAGACTTTGAGCTGGCATCAGCCCAGCAGAGGCCTGACATGGTGCTGCGGCAGCGGTTTCGGGGACTTGTGCGGACTGAGGATCGAACAAAAGATGTCCTGACCAAACCAAGGACCAACCGCTTTGTGAAACTGGCAGTGATGGGGCTGACAGTGGCGCTTGGAGCGGCTGCGCTGGCCGTGGTGAAAAGTGCCCTGGAGTGGGCCCCTAAGTTTCAGCTGCAGCTGTTTCCCTGAAAGCCGGAGAAGACACATTACATCACATTAAGGTCTCACCCTTCCATGGAAGGATTGGGAGGAGGTGGAATTTCCTTTATTAAAAGGGTTTCTGTCAAGGGTTTTCTATTCCTGCCACTCTTCCCTGCCTATCCATGTTTGCCTTTGCTTCAGAGGCCAGTAGCAGAGCCTGCCTGACACCAAGGGCACTTGGGGCCTGGGTGCAGAACTCAATTATTCCCCTCCCAACGGGCTGCTGAGTGGGCTGTCTGCTGCCTCCCCTTGTGTTGGAGGAAATGTGTTTCTTTAGCTCCTCGCTGCCTTGGGAACCTGCTAGGCCAGGGCTGCCCTGTTGATTGGGGAACCTCCTGGCCTCCCAGTAGAAAGTTCGCTGGACCATGGGATGCCCTCCTTGCCACCCCTGTTCTGTCTGCTTCACTTGGACTAAGAAGCTAGGGGCTGCCACTGCAGAAGCCCGGCTTTGGAGTGAAAACAAGATGGCAGAGGACTCTAGCCTGGAAACACATTGGCCCTCTTACGAGCAGTGTCGTTAGCTGGTCAGAAATCAAAGAGACAGATGTGAACTAGGTTACCAGTTAAATCCTACCTATGTGCAGCCTAGAAATTGCATGGGCATTTCCAGTCAAGCAGGAGGGATTTTTAGGTCCCTGGTCCTAGACTGGTTTTGCCTGCCTTTTTTTTCCTTCCTATTCTTTGACACTGCTTATGAAAGATACTTTTATTACTATTTTTAGAATTATATACACCTAACATGTAAAGTACCCTCATTTTAAAAATAATAGTTCCTTCATGGAAAAAAGTTCTCATCAGAAGGATGAGCTTCTAAGATCCTGAAGTTTATTTTCTACTCAATTGTTTAACATTTTGCTTTAGCCAGAGTTACTGTTTGTAAAGAGCCCTGTGCTTCCTAAGTGCCCACTTTCTGACTGGCTTTCCTTCCTTCCTGTTTTCCTCAAATCACCCTCCTACTCACAAATAGGTACCCACTCACTACCTGGGTGTTGTTTTTTGGGTCTGATTTATCTCCTCAACTGCTGGTCTCTCCCACCTGGTTGGAAATGTCACTGGAAACTTGCTGGCACCCAGAAAGGGACAAACGATAGCCTAAAGAGCTTAGCAGGAGCCTGGAACAGCTGGCCCCAACCCCAAGCTTCCCCAAGGACTCACCCAGTCTCAAGGAGCATGGGCGACTACTTGTTCTTCTGGGACAGCTTTTCTGTAAGCAAAGCCAGTGTTCTTTCCAATTAACTCTGGCTTAGAAAAAAAGTGCCTTTTGCTGCTTTAAAGAATTTGGGTATATAGTGAAGCAGCCACGTACTTTTGTTTTCCTGGTCTTCCCTGGGCACCGTTCTCTCTTGGCAGGTGTTTGCTTAAAGTGAACATGCCAGAAGCACTCCACCCACCATGTCCAGACCCCCACATCCTCCCACGCGCCCGCTGCGTGCAGGGTGGAGGCGTTCCGCATGCCAGGATGCCAGCAAGCCCAGAACAGTTAGGAGGTGTCTGTGCTGAGTTACACTAAGCACTTTAAAACCAAAAAAAGCTCAAAGTGATGGTCCATTCTCACAGCAAAGCCCTCCCTGGGAGGAATGTGATGTAGATGGATTAGTTTAGAAAGTGGTGAACTCATCGAGACAAAGGAAGTTCTAGGATGCAGAGGTGGTGATGTGGTGAATGTTCCGTGGTCTCCCACAGCAGGTTTGTCCTCGTGTCACCATTTCAGTGGGCAGCAGCATCTGCGCCTCCTGCCACAGCCCTCAAACCTGTTTGTAAATAGTGATGGAATTGATGAAAAGGAGATGCATGTGACAGGTCCCAAGGCCATAGCATTTTGGGTCCCAGAAAGCAAGTGGCATTTGCTTATGTTGTGGCTTAAGAAGGAAAAGGTTTGTTTTGTATCTTTGCTAACATCAGGATTCTTCCCTGCCATTGAGAAGAAAGCATTATCTACTTACCTTCAGGTGGTTTACTTATTCTGTAAAGAATATGTGTAAATATTTTGTACAGAGCCCTGTATAAAATAAACAGCCATATGTGGTTACTGATCACCTCTTCCGTCATTCTGTCCTTTTGCCCACCACTTTTTGGGAGTGGACTCTGGTCTTAAGACATTTGGCCTGGAGGCTCCCGAGCCACCTTCCACCCCAGGCCTGGGACCCATGGACTCCTGCTTGGCCCTGACTTGCCAGGAGGCCTGGGCAATGCCTGCAGTCATGCTGTTTCTATTTCAGCTGCGAGAAGTACGGTCTACACACTCCAGCTGCTGCCTGGGGCACTGTGAAATTATAAGGTATGTACATATTGGGTTTTGTCCATATTCTGGGTCATAACTCCCAGGTGCTGCAGGCCTCAGAAAACATAATCTCGCTCTCGTCTTCCCGTGCCCTCCTTTCACCTGCCCAAGGCAAGACCCTGATCCCATTGTGGGTCATAAGACCTTCTTTCCCTGGAGGGCCCCATACCCAGGAGGAAGGCATGCTTCACAAAGAGGCCATGGAGAATCTGAAGACAGGCCTTGCTGGGCTTCCCCAGTCTATTGGTATTAGATCATACCCTTTCTGTCCAGTCACATTTCAGCACAGTTGCCCATGCTTCAGTCATGCCTATCCAATGAAGTCTCCATGAAAGGCCCAAGAGAACAGGGTTTGGGGAGCTTCCAGAGAGCTGAACGTGAGCAGGCTGACTGGAAAGTGAACAAGAACCCATCCACGTGGCGGGCCGGGTACACTCCAACCCCCTGGGGACAGAAGCTTCTGCACTCAGGAACCTTGCAGACCTCGCCCTATTGTCTTTTCAGCTGGCTGTTGTTTGTATCCTTTAGAATATAGTTTGTAATAAACCAGTAAGTGTGTGATCCCTGAGTTACATGAGCCACTGTAGCAAATTAATCAAAGCCAAAGATAGAAGTCGTGGGAATCCCAGTTGAAGCCTGTCGGTCAAAGGGCAGTCTTGTGGGACTGAGCCCTCAACCTGTGGTTTCTAAGACTGCCTACAGGTAGATAACATCAGAATGTAAGTGGGTGGCTGGTGTACACTGCAGAATTCATTGTCGCTTGGTGTATGGGAAGAAACCCACACGTTTGGACACAGTGATCCATTGTTGCCGAGTGAACGCAGTTTGCGTTGATGTTTTTCTGCACTCATGGGCTCTGTCACCGTTGATGCTGTGGTGCAGGGAACTAGCCTGGGGTGCTCTTGGCTATTTTTCACGCGCCATTCTGGGGATGCCCTTAGCGTTAGGGGCTGGCGTGTGGATTTGACAGCTCACTAGAGCTGGATGTAGATGCAACTTTTCCGCCACGTGTAATTTCTGTCCACAGAGGAGCTGTTGAGAGCTGTTCTTGCCAAGCTTTCCAACATTCTCAGCTGCTGGGTAGTGGGTGCAGAGCAGAGCAGAGCGCTGGCGTCACTCAGCTCCTTGACTGTGTCCCTCCACCACAGGCCACTCCTGCAGGCCGTGGAGTACACCAGGCTGGCCAGGATACTGCCTGCCTCTGGGAGCGCACACCAGAGAGTACTGAAGAGCACTGGAAGGAGCAGTTTGTTTTGAGCAGCAATGATCGAATTTTAATAATTGGAGAATTGAAGGAAGAGTCTGTATGTTATCATCAATATTCGGTCTTTGTCCCAGGGTCCTGGACACAGGGCTCCTAAAACCCTTGGAATTTCCCAAATGTTAAGAGTATCTATTATTATTTTTAATAGTCACCTTTTGATCCAACCTGAGTTTATGCTAATGAGGTGACTTAGGTGGGACCGTTGATAGCCTCAGGATGGGCTGTCACCAAAAACACTATGTGATCAGAGAATGGGGACTTTCAGCCCCTTGTATTGACCTCCTAGGAGTAAGGGGGCACTGCAAATAGCTCTTTAAAAACTTTAATGGGATCCGGTGAACTTGGGTTGCCCCCCATCCCCTGCCCAGTTCATCTCTTCCACTTGGCTGCTCTGCACTGTATCCTTTATGATAAACCAGTGTGAGTACAGCATCTCCCTGAGTTCTGTGAATCATTCGAGCAAATTATTGAACCTGAGTGGGTGCTGGGGTCGTGGGAACCCCTGAATTGGGGGTTGGCCAGGCAGAAACACAGTAGTCCAGGTGCTGTGGCTGCCATCTGAAGTGGGGACAGTCTTGCGGGACTGAGCCTCTGTGGAACCTGAGGCTGACTCCAGGTGGAAAGTGTCAGAATTGAATTGTTGGAGGCCCAGTTGGTGTCAGAGAAGTGCTGCTGGGAAACGCCACACAGCATTCCAGGCTGAGGTAAAAATAACAAATAACGAGTGTCCTACTCCGGTAGAGGTCCTCCAGCCCGGTTCGCTGCGCCTCCGCGGCTGCCCGCCCCAGAGCTCAGGTCCCCCAAAATCATAAAAGCAGGAAAACGCAAGACAAAGAAATCCAACAAGGCTAGTGATTTCAGCCATATGGCGAATTGGCCAACACCGAGTGAATTAGTGAACACTGGATGTCAGAGTGTCATCAGCCAAGGAAATAAGAAACTACAAAATAGAAAAGAAAAAGAAGAAAAGGTTGAAAAGAGAAGTAACAGTGAGAGCAAAGAAAACAGGGAAACTAAATTAGATGGTCCTGGCGAAAATGTCAGTGAGGATGAGGCTCAGTCAAGTAATCAACGAAAGAGAGCTAATAAGCACAAGTGGGTACATCATCTAAGTCACTTAGATGATGTAAGACCAGACAGTTAAGAAGACCTGGATCCCAGAACAGCTCAAGGTGTCAACCTGAAGCAAATAAACCAGCACATAACAATAGGAGAAATGATACATGAAGTTGGAGGAGAGACAGAGAAAAGAGATGATCAAGATGAAGTTTCCAGTGTGAGAAGTGAGGGTGGTAATATCCAAGGTTCCTTTAGAGGCCGAGGACGGAGAAGAGGACGAGGCAGAGGAAATCCTCGATTGAACTTTGATTATTCATATGGTTATCGAGAACATGGTGAAAGGACTGATCAACCATTTCAAACAGAAGTTAATACCAGTATGATATATTACTATGATGATGGTACAGGTGTACAGGCGTATCCTGTGGAAGAAGTATTGCTTAAAGAGTATATTAAGCGTCAAATTGAATATTACTTCAGTATAGAAAACTTGGAACAGGACTTCTTTCTTCGGAGAAGGATGGATGAACAAGGTTTCTTGCCTATTTCCCTGATTGCTGGTTTTCACTGTGTTGAGGCTCTCACTACAAACCTTAATCTCATCTTAGAGGCACTGAAAGATAGCACAGAAGTAGAAATTGTGGATGAGAAAAAAGATAGAACCAGAAAAATGGCCAATTCCAGGTCCTCCTCCATGTAATGTGCCACAAACAGACTTCTCTCAACTGATTGATTGTCCAGAGTTTGTACCAGGCCAAGCCTTTTATTCACATACAGGTAACAACTTTTCTTCTAGAACAAACAACGTAACAGTAGGTTATTTGGTCCAATTTGTCTATCCTTTTTTTAGTTTATTTAGATTCAGTAAGAAAATTTATGATAAATGACTGGATGCTCCAAATTGTATTCATACTGCCTCCCCCACAGAGCTGTAAGTTAACGCTCTCTTATATTTCTTGTTCTTAAATTATATGTGTACTTTGTCATTTATGGTGTTTCTACCTATCCTCTTTTAAGTTTACTAAATGGCTATAAATATATTATGCCAGTTTTCCCCTTGTAAAATTGTATTAGTCTAAAAGTCTTCTACTTAAAAGTGGGCTTTCTTTAATGTTGTTACCAATGTGCTTCAACTTTGTCTTGAAAAGATAAGGTGACCTACATTGTAAAGCAGAATTGGGGTTCTCTTTAATCTGGTTGTGTTTGGAATTTCCAAAATCTGCTTTAATGTTAAGATTTTTTTCCTGGATCATTTTTAAGACATTCCCTCTTGGGAAAAAAATGTGTGCTTGAACTTTTTTCAGTCAGGGTGATGATCTGCTGAAGGTGTTGGATGTCATTTGATCGGAATATGCAGTGGAATAGGTGACTCACTGAAATGGCATTATAAATATTGGAACAAATGGTGCTGCAGAAATGAAAGTGACCGTGCGAGAGTGTCTGCTCTAACTCCTTGTGGAGGAGGTCGGGCCAGCACTGCCATGGAGATCACCACCTTTGCGATGATGAGAGACAGACCAGAGGACTGCTACTGTTTTTATAGGAGCTGCCCATTTCTGTGTAATTGGCCTGGGATGCACGGGCTACTTTTATTCACGGTGGGAAAGTTTATTATTATTATTATTCTGGGGGAAAAAAAAGTGTCAGTGTTTTGGGGACAGCAAAGCCCAGGAGTGGGGTTTGGGGTCCATGGAGAAATGCAGTGGGCCATGTCAGTGGGGGGCCAGGGCAGGATGGCTGTGGAAAGGAGTTGCCATGCTCCATTGTGGGCAGTCAGGGTGAGTACGTGCCATGACCTAAGCTGCGTTTGGAGAGACAATTGTTGGGGGCCTGTCGGGTCTAAGACTGAGGACCAGGTGTGTCCCTCCCTTGCTGGCCCTGTGAGCATCTGCAAGTCACTGCCTCTTTGAATGTGTCCTTAACAGCAAAATAGGGATGGGCCCATCCCACACGGTTTAATGGAGTTTGTGAAAATGCTTTACAAACTGTGAAATTGTGCCTGTGTTAACATTTTGGTGAACGTTTATTGATTAATAAACACCTTTAGCCAGCCCTGCTCTGGGATGCCTTTGCCCATCCAGCGATTGCCTGAAAGGAACAGGCCCGAGGCTCTTCCCAAATCCAGCTAAGCTGCGATGGTCTTTGTTCCCTCCTCCCCAGCCCCGCAGTCTTCTCCGTGTGTTCTGTTGGTGGCCCCTACTCCCTGGATGTCTTCTCCAGACTTCCATGTGATGAAGTGACCAGGCTCTGGCATTGCCTCCCACCTCCTGTGTTTGCAGTGAGTGGCTTTCACGCCAGCCCCAGACGCTGAAGGAGGCCCTGTGCTAGCCCTGTCACAGGCTGTGGGGCTTGTCCTCAGCTTTCTACCCACAGCAGTGACCACTGCACTTTATCTGAGCAATGGGCTTCCACTCACCTTCCCTGTGGCACTAAGAGAATGGTCTTGCCCATGCCTGAGCCTTTTTGCTCCCAGGGCTGGCGAGGCTGCCTGGCTGTGGCCCCTATCGGCTACAACAGTTGCCCTGAGCCGATGCTGGCAGAGCTGGAAGGCACTCAGTCCACTCACACAGTCTGTATGTTACTGTTCAGTGACCAGGGACAACTCTTTTGAGTCTTAGCATCCTGCGACACGGCAGCAATGCCCTTCCCTGCAAAGCACCAGCCCAGTGTCTGAGGCCTGAGGTCAAGGCCTTGAACAACAGAGGTGCCTGCTGCTTCCACTGTAGCGACAACCACGTTACAGTGCAGGCAACACGGTGTGCATCAAATGCCAGAGCTCAACAGGTCAAAGGGGGGTCACAGGGTGGGCATCCTTGGTCTGTGTTTTATTAATACTGGCCCAGCAAGTATTATTACCAATAAATATTGCTGGATCAGCACTTTGCCCTCTGACCTAAGCTGTTAAAATTAGGATGGACCACCTCACCCTTCAATTGCAGCAGCTTTACCTGTTCCTGAATGTCTGCCCCCCAACCCTGGGTGCTCAGGCCAAAAGGGAGAGGCAGCCTGTCGCTGCTGCCTTGGCCCCTCCTGCCCCTTGAGCCCATGTTGATCTGCAAACCCCTCTTTGCAGACTGTCGACACACTGCAAACTCCGCCTGTCCAGGCTAATGCTGACCCAAGAGCATCAGTGCCCCTGAAGTCAGGCACAGGGTGCCAAGTGTGGCACAGGGATCCCAGTGCTCAGTCACTGCCCCGTTCTACCACTGAAAGGCCAAAGATCAACTTCCTAGTGCAGGTTCCTGGAGAGCCTGGGATCCTGCCTATGTGTAGAGTCCCAGCCCATGACATTCACTTCCTCTCAAGGACATCACAGTCATCCTTTCCTGGAAGACTATTTTAATGAGCTTACAGGGGCAGCAGAGAGGGCGATGCAGAGCCAGACATGATGGGCTGTGCTTTCGAAACTGCCTGCTCTCCCCTTGTGGCTCGAACAGATTAGCAGGAATTCTAAGAAGCGCCAGGCCTCCAACCAGAAAAGCAGAGAAAAGTCACTCCCCAGAAAGCCAACAGCAGAAGGAGGTGGCTGTGAGTGCTTGGTATGCAGCAGACCAGGGTGGCAGTTGGGAGGAGTTTGGAGTCACACGGCATCTCTGGCCAGGGGCTGTGTTTTAAGGCTGGGGTCAGGCAGAGGTGCCCGCTGTAGCGACGATCACGTAACGGTGCAGGCAACTCGGTGTGCATCAAACGCCAGAGCTCAACAGGTCAAAGGGGGGTCACGGGGTGGACATCCTTGGTCTGTGTTTTATTAATACCGGCCCAGCAAGTGGGTACCAATAAATATTGCTGGATCAGCACTTTGCCCTCTGGCCTGAGCTGCAGAGAGCCCCAGGGAAAGGACAAAGGCACTGGGACAGATGTGACTGTGGACAACAGTGGTGCACTCGGGGCCCCTGCAACTCCTTCGGCAAGTGAGGCTGTCCATGCAGCTCGGTGGCCCTGGCCTCTGCAGGGCCCCTGCCTTGACTGAGCACAAAGGCATCTCCCAGGCCAGAAATTGAAGCCAAAGCCCCAAGCCAAGCCCTGCCCCCGCAACAGCCTGCAGATGTGGGGCTGGGCCAGCGTGGGGACCTGGCCATCTTTAGCTCAGTGGCAGTTCTGACAGCTTGGGTGGCAAGGAACCCCATTCACTCGGCAGCGGCAGCCCCCACTGGTGTCTCCTGGGCCCTGGAGGATGGGAGAAAGAGAGAATGTCAGGGCAGCAAACAGACTGCTCCCCAAGCCGAGCATACGCTCCCACTCTGCGCCTTTGCCCTTGCAGGTCCTGCTGCTAAGAATGGCCTTGGCCTCGGCTTCCTGATGGAGACAGTCCCTGAGGCCTTTTCTGGACTCCCACAGTACTCAGTGTACCCACCCCTAGACCCAGGGAAAGGACCTGACCACTCCACATATCCTGGATGGGTCAGCACACTGGCAGCGTGAAAGAGGGCGGTTTACTCTGCCTCCTTTTTTTTTTTTTTTTTTTTTTTTAAGAGACAGGGTCTTGCTCTGTTGCCTCAGCTGGAGTGCAGTGGTGTCATCTTAGCTCACAGCAACCTCAAACTCCTGGGCTCAAGTGATCCTTCTGCCTCAGCCTCCCAAGTAGCTGGGATCACAGGTGTGTGTGTGCCACCATGCTGGCTAATCTATTTTTTGTAGAGACAAGTCCTCACTATGTTGCCCAGGCTGGTCTCAAACTCCTGACCTCAAGGGATCCTCCCGCCTTGGCCTTCCAAAGTGCTGGGATCACAGGCATGAGCCACCATAGCCAGGTTCCATCTATCTAAAAGTCTACATGTAACACCGAGCCCAAATTCCAGGAACACACCCCTTCTAACGACAGCTACCACTTGCACAGTGCTCACCATGTGATAAGCTCTCAGCTAAGCACTTCTCTTGCATTTTTTCACTGGATTCTGATAACAAGCCTGAGACAGGCCCTGCTATCATCCCCATTTCACAGAGGAAGAAACTAAGCTCAGAGTGGGGAGTAATAGCCAGTATGTGCCAGAGCAGGGTCAATCCAGCTGGGGTTCAGCCCCCAGACAGAACCTTTATTCGCTGTCCTCCAGGGCAGGGGGGCAAACCTTTTCTGCAAAGGGCCAGCCAGTGACACTGGGCAGGCCGTACCGTCTCTGCTCTGTAGCGCAAAAGCAACCGCAGACGATGTGTAAACAAATGAGCACAGCTCTGCTCCAAAGGACTTTATGGACACTGAAATTTGGATTTCATATAATTTTTACATCATGAAATACTCATCTTTTGATATTTTTCAGCCATTTAAAAATGTAAAGAACATTCTTACCTCAGGAGCTGTACAGAGCTGCTGGGTTGGATCTGGCCCACGGGCTGTGGCTTTCCAAGCCCTCCTCTAGGGCAGACACCACAAGGGCGCCCTGCCCACCCCACTGCCAAGCCCTCTGCTCCCCAAGGACTCACCCCAGGGCCCCAGCGTGGGCCCTTGGTGACCCAGCAGATCTCGGTGTGGCAGACGGTGCAGCGGATCCAGTCACAGCCATCCTTCTTCTGCACCACGATCTGGCACTGCGGGCAGTGCATGGCCTCGCCCTGCTGCAGCATCAGCTGGAACGGAGCAGGCGTGAACCTTAGGCGGGAGCCGGCGCAGCTGCCCAGCCTGGTCCTGCTCTGGCCCCCTCCCAACTGCAGGGACAAAGCGGTGACCCCCAGAGTGGTGGAATCACTTTGCCCTGCTTTTCCACCAGGCCGGGCTCTGTCCAGTGCCTCCTTCACTCCTCCCTCTACCCAGACACTCTTCCCACTGCTGCCACCTGTGCACATGGCCTAGGTCCCATCCCTGGATGGGAGTGACAGCCAGAGGGAGGTCAGGACATCCAGGGATGTGTGAACATAATGCCCACACCCTGACTACCCCCCCAGAACCCAAATCCCCAGCCCTTGGTCTTGTCCCGCTTCACCTTTAGCATCTCCGTCGTCTGCCGGGCAGCGACATCGTTCTGTGCTCGCAGGGCCAGGTCATCCTGATACTCCTTGCAGTTCATACGCTCATGGATGGCCTGCAAGGGGGAGGGCTTGAGGTGCAAAGGTTCCCCAGGGGGTTACCATGCTGGGGAAGGCGAAGGGGATAGGGTGGGCATCCGCATTAAGCACCCAACGCCTCTGCACGTCGTCAGTGACGGCCTCACTTTGCAAACCGCACACCATTTTACAGGAGAGAACGCTTAGGCCGGGAGGTGATGTCAGGGTCATCACATATGGTAGTAGGGATATATCGTTCTCAGTTAACGATATATTTGTGCTCAGTTCTGGGGGGCACAGAATCCCTACCACACCTCTCCTACAGGCCGTGGCCCTGCATCCCTGCCTGGGTTCTGCCCAAAGCGCAGAGACAGCTTGCTTGGCCAAGTCTGAGACCATGCTCAAGACCTGCCTACCTGCTCCTCACCCTAGTGGTCAGGTTTTGAGATGACCGGGGCAGGCGTAGGCCTGGAGGAGGATCAGGCAGGGCTGAGTCTGGGTTCAGGTCAGAGCTCAGTTCAGGATAGGGTGGAGACTTGGTATGGGGCCAGGTCAGCGCTTGGTCTACAACAGACTGAGAAGCAGGCAGAAACCAGACTTGGAGCCTGGCTTGGGTCTGGGCTCAGTATGGGATCAGGTTAAGCGTCACCCAGGGCCTGGGCTCAGTATGGGACTGGGATTGAGTCTGTGACTGGGTCAGAGCTGGGTCCGGGCTCAGTTGAAGCTCCAGCTGGGGCCAGGTCTGAGACTCGATCTGCCGGGTCAGGGCTCAGTCCAGGATGAAGCCATGCACTCCCACGGACATGTGGCTCTAAGTCGTGAGCTCCCAGCAGCATGAGAGTGACTAGGCAGTTTGGGTCCCTGTCCCCACCTTGCACAGCAGGCAGTTGACGTGGAAACACACGGGGCAGGTGAACTCATTGACATCATCCTCAAAGAAGCACCATCCCTTGCAGTCTGGGGTCTTGCAGTGGTAGCTGAAGGCACTGCGGTTCTCCGCGATGGCGATGCTCAGGTCTAGAAATCGCTGGTAATCCTCAGGGGTCAGGAGCTGCCAAGAGACCACGTCCTTGTTGCTCAGGGTGCAGAACACCTAATACATGACCCTCCTTGCCACCAAATACCCTCCAGAAAGCCCCCAGCTCATAAACTCTGACCAGCCCCAGGATTTTTCCTCACGTAACTGCCATGGTGTTGAAAAACTCCATTCAAAAAGTGGACTTAAAAAGCTCTGGAAATGGATGGTGGTGATAGTTGCCCAACAATGTGAATATATTAACACTTATTGAACACTTAAAAATGTTTAAAATTTTATGTTATGTATATTTTACCACAATTTTAAAAAAGAAAAAAAATGAACAAAAATAATAACAGACAATACTGGGGAAGATGTGGTTAAACTAGTATCCTGGCACATCACACTCGAGAAAGCAATGTGGCGATGTTTCAACCAGCCCAAAGTTTTCTGACCCTTTGGCACCCATCCCACTTCTGTAAGTTTACCCTAACAAAAGAATATATTAATATAAGAGGCACCATGCAAAATGTTTCCTGAAGCAGTACTTACAAACTAGAATTTATAAGAGGTATAAACAGTATATATACCATGGAGATTTATAATAAGCTTTAGAAAGATTTTGTAGCAAAGTAGCAAAAGTCAATTGCATCCATGCTTATTAAAAAGGAGGTAAAATCACACCTACACCTGTGTTCTGTATCTCGACTGGGTGGACTTGGTGACAAATATGAGTTATATTTGTCAAAACTCATATAATTGCACACTTACAATGGATGCATTTTATTGTATGCTAAGTATACTTTACTAAATTGACTTAAAAAGAAAAAAATCATGTCTGCCCAGAAACACTGAAGGAAACAGGACAAAACGCAATTGGAGGACTTCCTGGGGTGGTGGCCTTGTGGGTGATTTTTCTCTTTGATTTATGCTCTGATTCTGTGTGGTTTCAGCATGTGTTTTGTTTTTGTAGAAACCACCTCCACTGCGTTACTCTGCTGATCCCTGTTCTTTTTTCTCTCTGCCACACTTGACCCTTCTCTGAGGCTTGGGTCAAATCCCAAGGGCTCCAGGGAAGTTCACGCAGCCCCTTGGCAGGGCTGCACTTCACGGGGAAAACCTCTGGGCAAATGGCCATGGGTGCTGCATGAGACCCACACTCTTGAGCCAGTCCCCAACTGCCAGCTCCAGGCCCCCCCGTTCCTGGGGCCCAGGGTGTCCCCTCCCGCCGCCAGTGCTTACCGCCCGGATCTCCCTCTCCAGCAGCTTGCCCGAGCACGAGTAGGTGTTGTCAATGAAGGGGCAGGAGACCTCCGCCTCCTGGCTGTTGCGGATGGTGCCCTGCAGGCACTCCCTGGGGGTGAGGGTGGGGGGTGGGTATTAGGGTCATCTGTACCCTGTCCACTAAGGACTCCACCCCTTACATGATGGGGCCTGAGCCCAGGGGCCTTTCTCAGCCACCCCAGGTGGGCTTCTCTCCAATATAATACCCTTCTTCCTTCCCACTCCTCCCACCAACCCACCACTATGGCCTCCCCTCAGTCCACTCCACAGCCACCCGTGACATTCTGGTCCAGGCCTGGATGGCTGCAGTTCCCTCCTCACTGGGTCCCTGTGTTCACCTTGTCCCTAGAGTCCATCTCAGCACAGCAGTCATACCTCCCCAGGGGCCCCTATCCCACCCAGAACAAACCCAGCAACCTGCAGGGGCCTGCCCTCCCCAACCCCTCCTCTGTCCTTTCCAACCTCCCTGCTCACCCCTCTGCTCTGGCCATGAGACCCCCTTGGTCTCCTCCAACAGACCAGGCCCACGCCCATGGCAGACCTTCCAGGCTCTGCTCTGGGGTTACCTCCTCAGAGGCCTCCCATCCACCCTTCCTGGGCTCCTGTTGCCTGTATCATAATCCATTGTTATTTAGCATTTGACACAGTTTACAATCACATCAGTCAGTGGTGACCTGAGTAGCACCAGCCTCCCACTGCAGTGTCAGCTCCGGGAGGCAGGAGCGGAGCCTGGTCCCCCGGGGCTGCTCCACAAACGCCTGCTGTGGTGAATGGGTGCGTGTTCTCTGCACCCAGGGATGGAAGGGTCATGACGAGACAGAGAGAGGGAGTCTCAGATGCCTACAGTGCAGGCTGCCAGGGCTAGGGCCCCAGTCCCCTTGCCTGGGTGGTTGGGGTAGTGGGTAAGGGCAGAGACCCTGGAGCCAGGATGTCTGGGTTCACGTCTGGGCTTCTCTTACAAGCTGTGTGGCCCTGGATAAGTTGCTTAACCTCTCCTTGCCTCACGTTCCTCCTCTGCAAAATAGGGAGATAGAGCCTACCTCGTAGGTTTTTGTGGGCGTCCAGTGAGATGTCAGAGCACAGGGCCCCACCCACCTTCTGCCGGGGCTGGGACTGGGGCCGCACCTGCAGAAGGTGTGCAGACACTCACGCAGCACCACGGCCTCGCCGGGCCCCAGCACCGAGTAGCACACGGGGCACTCGGCGGGCTCGGCGTTCAGCACCAGGCTCTTCTGGTCCAGCTGGACGTGCTGCAGGTAGTTCCCCTCCTGCTGCTGCTGCTTCCGCTGGGCACACGGGGTGGGGCCGCGGGGCGGGTCAGGGTCTCAGGGCCCGTCAGACCACAAAGGGGGCAGGGCCAGGCGGTGGGCAAGGCGGGCAAGCGTAGGATCGTGAGGGTGGGCAGGTGAGGGCAGCAGGAGGCAGTCTGGGAGGGGACTGGGAGCAGGGCTGGGCAGAACTGGGAAGCACAGTGACCAGTTGGGTCAGGTTGGGGCTGCAGCCAGGGGGCGGGGCCAGGCAAGGAAGCACTGCGGCAAAGACAGGAAGGGGGCCGGGGTGGGTGGGGAGTCGGGGTAGCAGGGCTCACACCCTCACCAAGAATCAGGGCAGGGCTGTGGACGGGGGTGGTGGTGGAGCTGGGTCAAGGTTGGGACAGGGAGGTGAGAGCCCGGGGACACAGCAAGGTTGTGGATGGGCCCAGGAGTGGGGTCAGCCCGGACGCAGTGGTGGGCAAGTGCTCAGAATGGGGGAACATGCAGGGCCAGGTGTCTGTGCCATGGGAGTGTGTGCCACGATCAGCGTGGCTGGGGGAGGGCAGGACAGAGGGAGGGGTCATCCCCCAGGGGGTGCTGAGGGGCGGGCCTTGCCGGAGGGCAGGGTCAGGAGTAGCAGAGTCCAGGATGAGGTCTTGGGTAGAGCAGGACTTAGGTCACAGGCCGGTGGGGGTGAGGTCCAAGCTGAGGTGTGGTCAGAGTCACGGCTAGAGTGCTGGGGTCACAGCCAGGGACACTTGTGTACTAGGGTGTGTGTCAAAGCTAGTGGCAGAGCCACGGCCTCGTGGGAGTGGGGCACGTGAACCTGGATGTGCCTCACAGCCAGGGAGCAGGGTCTCAACCACAGGGCGACCTCGGAGAAAGGGCGGGTCACAGCCAATTGCAGGGTCACGGGCAGCGGCACGGTTGTGAGGGGCCGAGGCAGCAACGGGGAGGAGCGGCAATGTGCAGGTGTCTCCCTTCCTGGCCTACGCCTGCCCCGCCTGGCCTGCAGGTGTCTGTGGGGGACAGCCGCGCCCACCTGCTGGTACTGGCGTAGCGCCTCCTCCTCGCCCGCCAGGCGCGCTCGCTCCTCCTCGTCGGGCTGGTATGAAGCGGGGACCTGGTAGGTCTCGGGCCGCGCCCGGCAGCACATCTCACATCCGGGCCTCGTGGGCTTGTTGATGAAGGTGCACCCGGGGCACTGCCAGCCCACCTGGGAGCAGAGAGGACCGTGAGCGGGGCATGGCGGGGTGGGGGCAGGGGGCACGCAGAGGCCGCTTAGGCTTACCAGTGGGGGCTCAGGGACCGTATCTGGCTGAACCTGTCTGGGCTCCTGGGGGGCCCCGGGCTTTGGAGGGGTTGGCTCCAGGGGGCCCCGTGGCTGCAGCGTGAGGTCCTTGAAGCCCAGATCTGTGAAGGAGAATTTAAGGGGTGTCGGATCCATGCAGCCCACTTGGCCCACACCCTGAGCCCCCAGGCAGACCCACCTCCATCTTCTCCCTCCTCCCTGCAGCTGTCTCCACCTCCACTCGGCCAGGTGGGCATCCTGGCTTCCCAGGGTCCGGGTCCCCACTCCACCCATGAATGCTCTTGTGCTCTCTGGGCCTCCTGTGCCTTCTGAAAGATGCACCCAGAGGGGCACGACAGCACCTCTGGGGCAGTCCTGCCACATTACTGACTCGAATCCATTCAGGAGGAAACATCAGACCAACAAAGAAACTGGCCTGGACTCTTTGAAAGGGACTGAGACATGACAGCGGAATGCCAAGTCTTTTGCTACAAATGACATTAGTAGGACAACTGGTAAAATCTAAGATCTACAGATTAGGTAACAGTACTGCATCAATGTAAATTTCCTGAATTGGACAGTTGTACCTGGTAATGTAACAAAATGACCTTTCTTTGTAAGAAAACGCACACTGAAGTATTTAGGGAAAAAGAACATCATGTCTGCAACTTACTCTCAAAATGGTTCAGAAAATAACGTTATATTCAGAGTGAATGATAAAACAATGTGGTGAAATGTTAATATTTAGGGAATCTACGTGAAAGGTACATGGGAATTCTTTCTACACTCTTCCAACTTTCCAGTAGCTCTGAAATATTTCAAAAGTAAAAAATATAGAATAAACACTAATCAGCATCATCATCATACCCAATTTACAAATTCAGCATACTGTGGAGCAGAGACAGCAGTGAACCTGCTCAAGGTCACACACCTGGTAACTGCCAGAGCCAGGCCTGAGTCAGCCCTTCCCCCACGCCAGCTGTTCTCAAATGCTTCCCTGCAATGCGCGCTCCAGGTGTCTCCTGTCCTCACTTCACTTGGCTAAGGTCATCCAGGTGAGTCCCTGACTGCAAGCCCAGGGGCTCTGTCCCCTCCCCCTGTGCCCTACGACCTCAGGTGAGTCCAGGGCCCCCGAGTGAGTCCCGCGCCACTTGAGGCAGCCTCACCTTCCAGCATCCGCAACTGCCGCTCCCGCTGCAGCTCCTGAGGGTTGAGCGAGGTGTTGCGGGCTGACAGCAGATAGAGGTAGGCGCTGTCCCCATTGCGCCGCACCCCGTGGGAGTGCAGGGTCTCCTGGTCTCGTGCCAACCGCTGCCCAATCACCCACTGCTGCAGGGCTGGGGGGAAGCCGTAGTCCAGGAATACCTGGCAGGGGCACCAAGAGAGGGAGAGTGGGAAGGGAGGACAGAGGGGGCGGGAGCGAAATGGGGGGAGCCTCTGCTCAACGTCTCCCTTTGGCCTCCTCACTCACCATGTCCTTGAGGGAAGCCACTGTCATGTCAGGGCGCACGGTGAGCCAGATGGTGACCGTGTGCAGGTGAGCGTCCTCCACACTCACCCACAGCCTGCGGGGAAGAGTGGGGGTGGGGAGAGGGCTATGGCCACAGGTCCAGCCTTGGCCACCAGCTGCATACATGTACATCTGCACACATGTGCACGCACATGCTTGTACATACAGGCATACACACATATCCCCCAGTCTGGAGCAGGGACCCCCCTGGATTTGCACGCCCCTGTGCCTCCTCCTTTATTAGAACCCACCCACCGCCCAAGCCCCTCCAACAGCTCCAACTGCTCTAGAGTAAACTGACCGCAGCGCACAAGGGCCTCTGCGACCCAGCGCCTCCCTACCTCTCCAACCTCCCTGTCTTCTCTCCCCTGCTCCTTAGCCAAACCACCAAAAGGTGTTATTTACTATGCGCCAAGACTATTCAACACGCTTAATGTACATTAACTTGCTTAGTCCTCTCCATGAACCCATGAGGCAGGCACTGCTGTGTCTCTTTTTTATAGATCAAAACACGAGGCACAGAGAGGTTCACAGTGACACTGCCAAAGTGAGCAATTAACTGTTAGAGGCAGGACTGAAATTCGAACAGTATTATTTCAGAGAAAGTGGTTTTAACTTTCTCCAGGATCCTCAAACATTTCTGGAACACCAAAAGCATGAATAAGGGCTAAAATGGAAACACAGACTGACCCCAAAGGAAACAGATCATTTAGGGTACAGAACAACAGTGAAGTCCAACCAGGACCTGCAGAGAGATTCAGGAAGACTCTGCCTTCCTAAAGCCAGGACAGGCAAGAAGAAACCAGAAAATGAGGACGAGTTCCTGGACATTAAGAAAGTAAAATGTTGACTAACCAAACCTTTACAGCTGACTAGCAGTTACAGGAAAAATGAGAGACAGTAAATGACACCATGAGGAGGCAATTTATACAGAATGTGAGAAAATTCAAGATGTCAGAAGATCAGTTTTAAAAAAAGAAAAACTTTATGGCATAAAAATAGAGGAGAATAAAAGAGATTTAAGACATATTGAAAATGTTATGTATAGATCCTATTTGGCTCTTGGTTTGAACAAACCAATTGTAAAAAAAAATTTTTTTTTTTTTTTTTTGAGACAGAGTCTCACTTTGTTGCCCAGGCTAGAGTGAGTGCCGTGGCGTCAGCCTAGCTCACAGCAACCTCAACCTCCTGGACTCAAGCGATCCTCCTGCCTCAGCCTCCCAAGTAGCTGGGACTACAGGCATGCGCCGCCATGCCCGGCTAATTTTTCTTTCTCTATATATTACTTGGCCAATTAATTTCTTTCTATTTATAGTAGAGACGGGGTCTCGCTCTTGCTCAGGCTGGTTTTGAACTCCTGACCTCGAGCAATCTGCCCGCTTCGGCCTCACAGAGTGCTAGGATTACAGGCGTGAGCCACCGCACCTGGCCTGTAAAAATTATTAATCAGGGAAACTTGACTATAAACAGGCTATTAGGGGATTTTAAGAAATTATGTTTCCCTTTTTTAGGTGTGATAATGGTATTCAGGGTATGTGATAATGGTATTCAGGACTTAAATTTTTTTAAGTCCTTATTTTATTTATTTATTTCTTGGAGACAGGGTCTCACTATGTTGCCCAGGCTGGCCTCCAACTCCTGGCCTCAAGCGATCCTCCTGCCTCAGCCTCCCAAAGTGCTAGGATCACAGGCATGAGCCACCATGCCCAGCCACCGTCTACTTTTTCACATGCAAAGTTCTTCAAAAACAAAAACAAGATGATATGGTTTATATGTTTGGCTCCTCCAAATCTCCTGTTTAAATGTGATCCCCAGTGTTGACAGTGTGACATGCCTGCTTCCCCTACACCTTCTGCCTTGATTGGAAGCTTCCTGAATCTCCACCAGAAATACAGGCTGATGCTATGCTTCTTGCAGAACCATGAGCCAAGTAAATCACTTTTCTTTGTAAATTACCCAGCCTTAGGCATTTCTTTATAGCAGTGCAAAATGGACTGACACAGAACAGTTGAGTCTGGTATAGAAGAATGAACAAAAACTAAAAAGAAAGGAAAAGGACTCGATTTTAACACTCAGAATGTTCTTCCAGTAACAGGCGTTCTGAAACACAAAAGTGCACAACTACATTCCTCATTTTTTTTTTTTTTTTTTTGAGACAGAGTCTCACTCCGTTGCCCCAGGTTAGAGTGCAGTGGCATCATCATAGCTCACTGCAGCCCCAAACTCCTGGGCTCAAGCGATCCTCCTGAATAGCTGGGACTACAAGCACACACCATGACCCCCACCGGCTAATTTTTCTATTTTTAGTAGAGACATAGATGGGGTCTTGTTCTTGCTCAGGCTGGTCTCGAACTCCTGAGCTTAAGCAATCCTCCTGCCTTCTCCTTATTCTATAGTAAATATTTCCATAATCAAAATGCTATAAATCCTACACAATGGCTTTGTTTTTAAAATTGACCTAGGGGAAAAGCAGAGAAGGCTTAATTATAGTTAGAAAACAAAATCTAGGACGGGCGTGGTGGCTCACGCCTGTAATCCTAGCACTCTGGAAGGCCAAGGCGGGCGGACTGCTCCAGGTCAGGAGTTTGAGGTCGCTGTGAGCTAGGCTGACGCCATGGCACTCACTCTAGCCTGGGCAACACAGTGAGACTCTGTCTCAAAAAAAAAAAAAAAA